CTGTTCTTTCTGCCTGGAAACTTGTAAATGTCCATGGCATCCAAAAAGCGTCCCTTTAAGTCAAAAGCGGTTTTAGACCAGGAAGAAAACAGCGATAGTAAATTAGAATCACTTGCAGAGTTGAGCGACAGCGATTTGTTGGGAAATTCATCATCGTACACAAATTCGAACACTGAAAGTCACTTTCAGTGTCTGATGACGAATTTCCCAACGAATCGCTATCGCTCAATTCTGCAAGTGATTCTAATTTACTATCGCTGTTTTTTACCTGGTCTAGAACCGCTTTTGACCTAAAACAGCGGCAATTCTGCGACCAAGCTCAGTGATGTGTGAACTTGGTACTCTATTGACTGTGTTATGGATCAGGCAGCACCCCCAGAATTCCCATTTTTTTAATTATTATATTATAATTTCTTATAATTATTTATATATTTATGATTTCGTGTTTCAAACTTTCTCATACCCGGGATGTCTACTGGACTCTTGTTTGGACAGATTTAGGTGAGTTATTCCTAAGATTTACTAAGAATTACAGGCCTACAATATAAAACACCACATTTCCATGAAAAACAATGTACCTCTTTGGGATGCTAAAATCCTGAATAATCATACCGCCGGGGAGGTTAAAAAACCCCAGAAAAAATAGTGGTGATGGGTGAAAATGGGTGGGTCTGGACCAGTGTTTGGTTCTTAGCACTACCAAAGGTCAGGTTTCAAGTTTCTGCCCTTTCTATGTTGTTTCAGTTGGCCTCTCACTCCTTCAATAAGAGAACCAACCTTTTGTTAAAGATCCCACTTACAAGGTGAGAATCACTGTAGCCATTACCTCGATGCTGCTTGTGCCTGAGCTGTGGCCTTTTTTTGCAAGGAACCTATTTTTAAATGTTAGCATACAGACATGTTGGTGTTTAGGCCAAGCACTTTTTTTTAAGTTAGTACTCAGGTTGCATTTCCATCCCTTCCTGTGTTTGTTTTAACATTGAACAAATGGCTGTACAATTAATAGAGAAAAAAAATAGATCTGCAAATATAAAATACTGTGTAAAAACAGTGG